AGTACGTGTTCAATAGAATCTGCTGTGCTTGTCTTGTGGCACCATTGTCCTGGTACATGTGCAGTAGAGTTTGCTGTGCTTGTCCTGTGGCACCATTGTCCCGGTACGTGTTCAGTATCGTCTGCTATACTTGTCCTTTGTCGCCATAGTTTTTGCTGCCATCTGCAGGTTTGAAATGCACTGAGAGGCCTGGTTTTACTCCACCACAACAAAACCATGTATATGTTTCAGCGGTACTACATAAACATACAAACATTTGGAGGAACGGGTTCACGGCAGGCTTTCCAGCTCCATGCATGCATTTATAGTTGGTGGATATAGGTACCGGTACCACAGCATTACAAAAGAAAGACTTCACCCAGTGGATGCATAGCCACCTCTTTTATAAAATATCTAGGTCAATCATGTTCTTTCTTGTGTTTAAGTTCAGGTTATTTTCCTGGCCAGCCACAAGTCATATTGAGAAGAGTAATTTTCATTTTACAGTGAGTTTTGTGGATTGGAAGATGCATTGAAATCATGTGCAACATACATGCAGCATTCTAGCCTTACACTGATTCCCTTGCTTAACTGCAAGAACTGTGATGGATTGGCCGGGAGCCAATCTTTAGCACTTAACCCCTGATACATGTCAAACTAAGCCTTATGCAAACATCATTGCAATTGATCAAAACATGAAAAATATTCACTCAAGATTTTTCAAGTCAGGCTGCAAAGGCTTATTTTTTGTCTGTGTCATTTCCATATTTCAGGATTTATTTTAGGACAGAATCCTTGTCATTCACAGATCAAGGGAAGAGAGATTTTCTCAGCTTGTTAGCTGATTTCAGCTTTTTTTTGTTTAGATGTTGAACCTGAATTTCAGCTTTTTTGTACACTTGGACTTTATAAAAGATTGTAACTTTTTACATGGCTTTTTGCGAGCTGTTTCAAGTTTTCATTTAAGAAGTCACTCACACCCCTTTTTTCTGTAACTGTCCCAGGTTTAGCACGCAGGGCCATCTTCACATGCTATGTACATGTAAATCACATATACAACAGACTGGCCATATGCACATGTAGCTTCTTTGCAAGTACAACTTGTATTTTGTGTAGCTTTCGAGTCTTTTACCAACACTCTGTGTATAACATACTGATCCAAGAGAGGACATGACAAAGGACATGTGTATGTGGCCTTGCTTTGGCTGTCTACAGGAGTCAATCGCTTTTAGCAAGTGCTAGTGTTACACGAGATGGAAGTTTCTTACATGTATGTAGTAACATAATTACATCTACTTAATCGAGAGGTTGAATTACTGTTGCTTGAAACATAATTGGTGCCCCAATGCAAGAAATTGGTAATGACCTGCAGTGTTGAAATCCACCACTGGTTTAGCAAGTTACCCTGAACCACTGCAAATATGAACTGTACATGAGTGGTAGCAGTTTAAACTATCAGACTAAGGCCAAGACTAGACGCCATGCCATTGCCATGAAGAACTTAATTCAAATGAGTGTGACAATAGCATGGTAATTGGGTGGCAGTTGTGCTAAATGTCAAGCTTAAATAGAGCAGTGGCGTGCCACTTCCATTTGAAAATGAAAGCGTAGCATATCCTGTCGCTAAAGGGTTTTCCGCACTGAATTCAACTTGCCAAGCCGAATTGCACTAAGCGCTGTGCTGTATGTTCTCTGCCAAAATGGAAAAAGTTGCATTATTTGAGTTTGGCACAGCATTATAATCTAGGTCTAATGGTTATAAACCAGGTGTAAAGCCATCGTCATCTTGGGAGATTACTTAAGTTAAAGTTCTAGTGGTTAGGTTACGAACCACTCCTGAGATTATATAAAATCTATGGTAATAGTGAACATTACTACTTGAAACATAAGGATCAAAGGTCACAACAGGACACAGAGATCTCATAAATTTAAGTGATTAACTTGAGGTTATTCTGGTCATTAGGATTATTTTGAAAAAATTAGTGTGTGAATTGATGATCCCCTCGTTTTCCCCCAAAGTGTGACTGCCCCCCTCCATTTGTGCCAAACATATATCAAATGAGGGACTTGCCATACCCTCCTCCCCCCCAAAATATATGGCATCCAGGGTGCTGAATGTGCTCGCCTCCCCCTTTTTTAAGTTTTAATGTGACAAGGAAGAGATATCCTCCTGGTTAACCAGAATAGGAATTGACCACCTGGGGTAGGGGAGGGCAGAGGCGGGCAGTAAGGTGTGTTGTGAAGAGCAGTGCTGCAAAAAAAATGTTTTAGCTGAATAGCTTGTTGCCCAGGGATGATAAGTGGAGGCCATCCTGCCAGTAGAAGGGGTACATTCTGGTTGGGGTAAATGATGTGTGGGTGCACGAGTGCATGCATGCCTTTCCCAAGTGTTCATACATCCTGTGGGTATATTTGCTCAGAGCAAGTATGTTCCACTTGCCAACCGTAGGTCATTCTTCCTCACATTCAGAAAAGAGGTGTAAAAGAATATCAGACCATTCAAGGCATGTATGGGATAACATATATCACAGCTCCTGTAGGCCTTCCTCCAACGTGCTTTGCATCTATTCAAATGGGATTGAGAACAGATCATTGGTCCCAAGGTGAATCACAATGTTGTAAGGAACCGGCGAGTATTTGACTTCTGCTCTGACTGAGGGAAACATCGAAGAGATTTTTACTCTCCACATGCCCCACCGGATGAGGAGACCCAGTGAAGGTTTGTGAGAGCCTTATTCAGTGTGAAAGATGATGATGTCACTGCAGGACTACCTATATGTAAGTGCAAATGGTAGCTGTGGGATGAAGCACAAAGGAAGGAAGAAAAAGCAACAAGGAAAGCAAGTTTTGGAGGTTGGTTGGGGTTGTGAGCCACGGGCAGCTCACAGCTGGAATAGCATGCACTAGAAGGGGAGGACTTGCCAAATGTACAATTAACTGCTGGGGAAGTCCAGCAGCGCAATAATTGGATCCATTGAATTGTTAGTGGAAGTAGCTGCCCCAACAAGGAAGCTGTAGGGAGTTAATCCCTAAGGATTTGCACTGCATTTGTCTGAACTACCGAAGACCTTGGGTTTGTACACATAGCCAAGGTGCCTGAAATCGGACAAAGGAGCTGGGTCTTTTAACAAAAGATGGTACTCGTTACAAAAGACCAAGCTGCTGGGAATTGCTAACATTTTTCAGCACAAAGTGCTGGCTTTAGTGGAGGTAATCCATCATTGTTTTTGAAACAATGTATTACTGTTTGCAGCATTTCGGTGATTATCAGTGGGGACAAAAGTCTTTTGTTACAAGGCCCAGTTCCCTTGGTCCGATTTCGGAGACCCCGGCTACGCGTATAAAGAATATTGCCCAAACTGGACTCTCCGGCAGCAAGTGGTTCAACCACTGGCCTTGAAAGTATCCCCAAAGCCTATCCTCCAATAGCATCTGTGAATAGTTGATGGTCTTCATAAGTGCCCAGCTTTGGTCCAGAATCATTGTCCTCATATTCAAGCTGTATAGGAATACCTGTGACATACATGGAGGTCTCCCTTCGCACCTTTGGAAAGATGAACTAGGTGCGAAAGTTGCTTTGCGTTTGAAGTAGAGTCTGTTAGTCGCCTGAGGAAGGCTCACCCAGGGATGACAGCATGGCACACAAAGGATACAGATCTAATGAGTGAATGGGTCTTGAGAGTTACCAAGGGGAAGGGGTTGCATCCTGAACCTTTTTTGAG